CATATTTGTTCATGACTGTCCTTTAAGAACTTATCATTGATCAATGTACAAAAACTCTTTATTTACTATATCATCCATCATAAGAAGACAAAGACATTGGCTGCAGTTTTTTATTTTTTATTTCAATTGCCCTCTCTTCTTACAGTTTGTGGTACCTTTTCAACTGAGACAATCGTTACACAGATTTAGTTTAAAGCTCCCTAAATATTCTATCCGAAATTCTTTATCTTCTTATCAGTCAACATGCATATAAAACACCTCTATAATTATGTTTCATAACTCTTTGCTCAATGCTATCACATGAATCCCTTTTTATATAATGTTTAAATGAACAATTTATCTAGTTTTTGTCTGTTTGTTTGTTTTTTGGCGCATTTTCATGGTCAAATGTAGTTTTGTCTCCTTGGGCTTATATTGTATTATAGACTTGAGAACCCCTTTGTAATGTATTAATAATCAGAGAAAGAGAAGCAGATGTATAGGTCTCAACACGTTTCTCTTGACTAACCATAGCTGTAGCCAATAGTTTTCCAGAGTCTAAGCATGCAGGCAACAGGAGAAGTGGGAAAAGACAGCTGAGCAGGGAGTGACTCACTCCGCTCAGTCTCATGGTGATCTTGTAACTTTTTACTCCCACCCGAGAGCTGATGTATCCACTGTGCTCCCCTCATCTCAGAGAACCTCACGAACAATCCAGGGAGAGGGCAGAGAGCATAGTGGTATCACACAAAACAGTTCAACTTAGAGTCTATTGATCTCACTAATGGAGGGACTGAGCACTCTCCATGACAGAGTTTATGGAGAGTGCCATACACAGAACAAGAGAGTGAAACCCTCGTATCTTGCATCAGAGGAGGGTGAATCCTCGAGGACAAAACAAGATAAATGAATGTGGGAAAATAGCAGTTGTAACATTCCTTACAAGGTCAAATACTTATATCGAACACCAGCTGTCACAGAGCATATGTGTCCCTGAACACTTCCAAAGAAAAGTAATGTATTAAGAGTGTGTTGGGGTGGTATTAATGCTGCAATTACTCATTGTTCCAAGATTGTATATTGTATATTGATTGAAATACTGAAGTTGCAAGTCAATTTGGTTTAATCAATCAATCAAATATCTATGTATTTATCTATCTATTGGTCTATCTCTCTGTGAGTCTGTCTGTCTGTCTGTCTGTCTGTCTGTCTGTCTGTCTGTCTGTCTGTCTGTCTGTCTGTCTGTCTGTCTGTCTGTCTGTCTGTCTGTCTGTCTGTCTGTCTGATGAAGCAGTAATATGAAAAACCATAACAAATTATAGTAAAAAGCTGCCAGTTTGTCTGTATATTGAGCAGTTTTTTTTGTATACTTGAATAAAATCTTACATACTTTAACAGTGGTACAATTTAGCATGCAACACTTTTGCATTGTGTGCTACTTGGAATAAGGACAGCAATTATGCCTCCACCAATGGGCATTAGTGAGTTTCTGGAGAGGATGTAGAGACACACTGACCTCAGCACACCTGGTCAGTATCTCCGTCTTCTGACAAGGCTTTGGATAAGGCTTTATTCTGTCGGACTCTCTCGTCTATCTTTTCCCTTCTGCCCCAACACTATGGGCATACTGTTATCAGCACATGCTCTGAAAGACTGAGCTCTTTCTCTGTGTGTGCTACCCTCCTCTTTCAACTATGTGAGAAATGCTTCTCAAACTTTTTATGACGTCCTGTTGACTGATACTTTGTCATTGTTAACTGCATTCTCTAAAGAAAGAAAATGGGTACTTTAAACAATTAGATATATTGAGACTGAGACATCTTTTGGACATAAATGCTGTTTGTATGATTATTCCCACTCAATACTTTTGACATGAACTAACCTTACTGCTGTACATATTTTACACTGATCAGCATCTCTCAAACACAACAACGGTATCATAATTGCGTAATGAGTATTGCATGGCATTTATTGACATTGCTAGTTCTTTTTATTTGATCAACCTCTTCATGTGTTATGGTCTGACTTTGTTGACAGTCTTGCTAGCTTGAGTGAAAATCTGTCTCTAACTGCCCTCCCCAGCCAGCATTCAAAAACCATGTTCAGGACACTGCTGCTCTCTGGTGGAGATATACATTTATTAATACAGGGGGAAGTTGAAAAGTAACTGTATTTTCAGACGATCTTGCTGATAAGAGGTAAAAGTGTAGCTTGAGCAAGGTCATCAGCAGACATCAGACCCCCCACTTAAGCAAAAGCAGCAATGATGTGTAGACAATTCAGAATCTGTTCCTGAATTGTTTTTATTATTATTACTATCGGAAAATGTAATATGTGGTGTCTTAAAAAAACTTGTTTTTGTAATACTATAAAGAAGGTGGCTTTTTTAATTCATAAATGTAGATAATAAATAATGAATATTATCACTTTTTTATACTCATTATTATCATTATTATTATCATGGCATGTGTCAAGTAATAATGATCATATAACTTATAATATTAATACTACTACTACTACTACTACTACTACTACTACTACTACTACTACTACTACTATAATAATAATAATAATAATAATAATAATAATAATAATAATAATGATGATGATGATAATGATGATGATGATGATGATAATAATAATAATAATAATAATAATAATAATTAAAGCTGAAAGCAGCGTTGAGCGGGTCTTCGACGTTCCGCAGGCTGTTGTCCGCACGTCGACGTCAGGCAGATGTCTCGAGGACTCGGCCGTTGGCAAACGTGGGAAGTTTCAGGCCGATCGGACAATGTCTTTGAGTTACAGCAGTAACACAAACGTTGTGTTTGATGGCTGGTGATCTGTCGCCATGGCAACGGCATATGATGACATCCCATAATATGCTTAGATGTGTTGAGGGCTGCATCGTTATCAAACCTGTGAAGTTTTGGGCCGTTTGGAGCATGTTAACTGGAGTTATGAGAAAACCGTGTTTCACGGCGACCATTTTGTTACCATAGCAACGACATTTAACGTAATCTCAAAATGGACACATATATGTGTTATGGGTTTGACGGTTAGCACACATGTACAGTTTGAACAGTTTTTGACCATTTACACAGGACTTATAGCAATATGGTGGTTAACGGCGAGGGAAGCGTTGCCATGGCAACAGCTTTTGGGAAAAACTCACTATTGTCGAATTGAGGTGTTGAGGGCCGGACCCTTAGCCATCATCTGAAGTCTGGTGGCGTTTGGACGATTTGCCATTGAATTAGGACATCACCGTGTTTCATGGCGAAGGATCTGTCGCCATGGCAACGGCATATGATGACATCCCATAATTGTCGTAGAGCTGTTGAGGGCCGGACCCTTAGCCATCATCTGAAGTCTGGTGCTGTTTGGACGATTTTCCATTGACTTACAACAGCATCGTATTTTTTGGCGAGGGATGCGTTTCCATGGAAACGGCATATGATGACATCCCAAAATCGACATAGAGCTGTTGAGGGCCGGACCATTAATGATATTAATGATAGTCTGAAGTCTTGCGCCGTTTGGACGATTTTCCATTTAGTTACGACAACACCAGGTTTATTGGCGAGGGACGCCATTCCATGGCAACAGCATATGAGGACATCCCATAATTGACAGTGCTGTTGAGGGCCGGACTAGGAGCCATCATATGAAGTCTGGTGACGTTTGGAAGATTTTCCATTGAATTACAACAACACCAGGTTTTTTGGCGAGTGAGGCGTTGCCATGGCAACGGCATATGAGGACATCCCATAATTGGCATAGAGCTGTTGAGAGCCGGACCATTAATGATAGTCTGAGGTCTGGTGCTGTTTGGACCATTTTCCATTGACTTACAACAACATGGTATTTTTTGGCGAGGGATGCGTTTCCATGGAAACGGCATACGGTGAGATTTCAGATTTCACGTAGAGCTGTTGAGGCATGTACCGGTGATATAAAAGTGAAGATTGGAGGACGATGGGACCGTGTCCATTGGAGTTACAGCGACACCGTTGTTTATGGCAAAGGATCCGTCGCCATGGTAACGCCAAATTAAGTAACATCAGATTTGACCTAGAGCTGTTCAGGGCTGTAGTGTTAACCATCATGTGAAGTTTGGTGGCGTTCTGAGTATGTCAGTTTGAGTTATGACATCATCGTGTTCCATGGCGAGGGACCACCTAGCATCGAGCGAACGCGAACTTTGGCGACAAATAACGGCTACGCCGTGCGAAAGAAAAAAACGTCTGTGATAACTTTAGATTGCCCATGTCTCGAGAAGCTACCCGACGAATTTCGAGTCGTACGGATAAAGTCCCTAGGAGAAGATATATTGTATGGAGGACGAAAAACGCGATAAATCGCGTTTTTCCGACACAAAATTCAAAATGGCCGACTTCCTGTACGTTATTTTATACCTCTCCAAGAGGCTTTTTGGTTCGTCTCCGCACCCTAGATATGCGTGGCGAGTTTCGTTCGTTTACGTGAAAGTTCAAGTAGGGGGAGTTTACGTTAAAAATTGAAGTGGGCGTGGCCTACGCAATTTTTGACGCAAAGTTCCGGAACCTATTACACATTGCTACGCCCACCTCACTGTCGTCGCATGGGCTACGTACTGGCATCATTTAGGCCACTTTTAATGGGCTTTTGCCCCTCTTTTACCCTATTTTTTGTGGGTTTTGCATGGTTATCGCTCGCTTCGCGAGCGACTAAATTGATCGTAACGATATCAATTATGCGAGTTGCACGTGACTGGGCTCACGCGGCCTATCAGCCGTCATGATTTCCGAACCTTTTCTATGCTTTTGCCGGTCGTTTTCCTTGTTTTTGGGTGTTTTTCGCAGGTTTATCGGTCTTCGCCGACCTAGGTCTCAGACCCTAATAATAATAATGTATTGTTGTTTGTATCATAGAACAATAACATGTTTTATCTGGGTTATCAGGATTATAAATCATGTTTGCAGTGTAATAATACAGGCTGTTTCTTTAAAACCTTGTTCTTACACAACTTTGTTAAATAAAACATTAACAAACAACAACGAAATCATGAAATAGGATATACTCTCTGTTATTATTTGTATTGTATTTATTACATTAGCTATTAAATGTACTACGTCCGTTTTATTTATTTGTATAAAGTCAGTAACATGTCAGCAGTGGGCTGGTTCTTTAAATCGCTGTGCTTCGTGTCTGTAGTGGTGACGTGTCTCTAAAGTTTCTCCTCCTCCCGGTTCTCAGTCACACAGTCAGTAGTGAGATTTCTGCCCAGATTTACACTGTAAAGGAGCACGAAGGAGGACAGTTGGGACATCATGGGTAGTGAGTATGACTTTGGCACACGATTTGTACGAGATAAAGATAACCAGAGTCTGTTTAGCAACAACATAAAATACAGTTTAATCTGTTTTGTACAACTTTAGATAGCTAACCTCGCGGTGTTAGCGCTGACTGGCTCTGATAGCTCGCTAGCTCACGTTGCTAGCTAGCTAGCTAGTCGGCAGTAGCTTCTGTACTATTTTGAGGTTTTCATGATGGGAAATCGTCAGTGGATACCATTAAACAGTTGGGCAGTGTTTTTGTTGGGACTAATTTGTTTTTTGTGGAAGGATTTTATAAGCGACATGTTGGTTCTTGTTGGCTGGAAATCTCTTCTAAGCTAACTCGTTAGCTACTCATTCAAAGACACTGACAGTCTAGTGATGACGACGCACAACACAACCGGTGTTATCTTGAGCCTGCTGCTACTAAATCAACTGCCAACCGCTAATAAGAACACCTAGGAATGATTATGTAAAGGTTTCGGAAAACATATAGAAACACCGTAATAAACGCCCTATTTCACGTCAAATTTGGTTATTGTAAATTCCAGTATGTCTTGAATCCGCCCACCACTCACTGCCACGTCCCACTGGCAGCCAGCTATCATTCCCAGTTCACTCACACATGTACTCGTGTTTTTTTGTTTTCAGTCAAATTCCTGGAGGTGATAAAGCCGTTCTGTGCAGTATTGCCAGAAATCCAAAAACCTGAAAGAAAGGTATGCGTTTCAATCATTATTACATTTGCATTTGGCTATGGATATGTTGTTAAATATCTTCTCCTAATGTGATTGTTTAACAGATCCAGTTCAGAGAGAAGGTATTATGGACTGCCATCACTCTCTTCATCTTCCTGGTCTGTTGCCAGGTAAGTGCCAACAATAAATTACTGTTTTAGTTGTTCAACAACAACTCTAAATGGATTGAAATTTCATATGATTTTTTTTAATGTAACATTTGACAACAAGATTATGTTTTATAAACACATAACCTGCACACTACGTTCACCTGCACTTTATTAATGACAATTTGGTCTTCTGAACTTTATCAGCTAAAAATTCTGTATGACCTTCATTCAAAGGTCTAAGGACAGATATACTGTTAATAAAGTGAGTAAATATGTCGCAGTGTTCTGTTGTAACATATTTCTGTAGAAATAGAAAAGTGGATATTATGTATTTTGATATCCTATAAATTATTTAGGGTGCATTATTTTTATTTCAATTTGGACTTAGTATTAAATTAAAGGGCTTGTTAGTTCATTAAAATGTTTTACTCTGATGTGAAATGTGCAGGCAGGGATTTGAACACTGTTACACTGAGTTTTGATTTACAACAATTATGATGACATTTTGTTAACAAAAGGCTTAAAGGTGGACTTTAATAATCAACACCTGCAAGTTCATAGTAGCAATTAAGCTTGTGCTTAACTAAAGTCATATTTGTTTTCCTGCAGATCCCCCTCTTTGGCATCATGTCGTCAGACTCTGCAGATCCTTTCTACTGGATGAGAGTCATTCTGGCCTCAAACAGAGGTAATGATCAAGATAATATATCAAAAGAAAACATTACAAATATATAGATGCTCCCATTGTTATTCCAATCTTTTGGTATTGATTTGATTACTATTGTTGTTCTGTTTCCTTTGTAAAGACTAATTGGGAATTAAACAATTTTTTTTAACACTTTTTTCATTGAAAATGTAAACTCAATTGTGGGTTCATAATAAAACCTTGACTGTTAAATACTTACATTTATTACAAAGCTGTGTGTGATTTAAAACCATTATGCTGCTGTAAATTAACCGGCAATAAGTTTCACCATAGATATGCGACTGATACACTGGTGGCTGATTGATTGGGACATTTCTAATAAGTGTGTGCCTGCTCTCTCACTGGTTTGTACTAACTTGAATTTCTCTCTCCAGGTACCCTGATGGAGCTCGGTATCTCGCCTATCGTCACCTCCGGCCTCATCATGCAGCTGCTGGCTGGAGCTAAGATCATTGAAGTCGGAGACACACCAAAGGACAGAGCGCTCTTCAATGGAGCTCAGAAATGTAAGTAAACTCTCCTTGGGTGGTAATTTATAAACGTACGGACGGTTGGCATTTATATGCACGTCTATAGATTGTCTAACCCCCGCTTATTGTTCTTTTAGTGTTTGGAATGATCATCACCATCGGACAGGCCATCGTGTATGTGATGACCGGCATGTATGGAGATCCCTCTGAGATGGGTGCAGGAATCTGTCTGCTCATCATCATTCAGGTAAGAACAGGACTTTTCTAAAATGTGTCATAACCAATAATGTTACTTTGACTAAAATCTATATTCTGTCATCTCTCAGAATGCACCAATTATAAAACATGAATGAAATAGAACACAGCGGATTGTGACTTTGTAATTGAACCCAGTCCTTTCTATTTTTCTATTATCAAAGACAAATCTCCTACAGTGAGGATGGCATTCATTATCAAACATATTATCCTCCATTAATTAAAGGGTTTTAAACTGCCATCTTACTAAGTGCAAGAGGTGCATCAAGGTCATTTCAGAGTGTCGTGTGTATAATTATGTCAAATAATACAATTCATATAGTCATTGTTCATGGTCTATAATGAACAATACGTGACTAACAGGTGTGTTTAATTCAATAAAGTGTACTCACAAAGCATAATGTACTACTTTTTTAAAACTCACTTAATAACTTCAGTAAAGCGAACCCAGTCTGCAGCTAAGCTCCTCCAAGGCTATGTGAATGTATTTCAAAGTGAAAACGTTTTCACATGACTTCCTCTGTGCTCTTTCAGCTGACTGTATCTGTTTTGTTCTCAGCTGTTTGTAGCTGGGCTCATCGTGCTGCTGCTCGACGAGTTGCTCCAAAAGGGCTACGGTCTCGGTTCAGGAATCTCGTTGTTTATTGCCACCAACATCTGTGAGACAATCGTGTGGAAGGCCTTCAGCCCCACAACGGTGAACACTGGAAGAGGTAAGAAATAAAAAGATATGTAAATATCTGCAGAAATCTTCTGCACTCTTCAGAACTGTGCCTCATACTGGTGAATGTTTTCTCTTTCTAGGTACGGAGTTTGAGGGAGCAATCATTGCCCTGTTCCATCTGCTGGCCACTCGTACAGACAAAGTGCGAGCTTTGAGAGAAGGCTTCTACAGGCAGAACCTGCCCAACCTCTTGAACCTCATCGCCACCGTGTTTGTCTTCGCTGTAGTCATATACTTTCAGGTTGGTGTCTGAACCTTCTTCCACATGGAACCTGAAAATAAATAATTGCATATAGACTAGATGATGAAGTTCTGGAGGGTAAACGGCTGAATTGCTCACATTCTCCTCTTCTCACAGGGATTCAGAGTGGATCTGCCCATCAAGTCTGCTCGCTACCGTGGCCAGTACAACACCTACCCCATCAAGCTGTTCTACACCTCCAACATCCCCATCATCCTGCAGTCCGCCCTCGTCTCCAACCTGTATGTCATCTCCCAGATGCTTTCCACACGCTTCAGTGGCAACTTCCTGGTCAATCTGCTCGGTACCTGGTCTGTAAGTATACCATTTAGTCACAACTTCATTTCAAGAATGAAGTCTCTCAAAAGGACTCAAATATGATTAGGCATGGTGCCTCCTCTCTGCTCAGGGGGACATTACTCCATGATATACTTAGAAAATAGCCGTTTGCTGGTAAACTAATGTTCTGAATGTTATTTTTATGGTTTGTTTTGTGGTTTTTGTCTGCCCAGTTTTAAAGTGTGTATTATTTTCTGATGTTTGTAGGATGCTACGTCAGGTGGTCCAGCCCGGGCCTACCCTGTAGCCGGACTCTGTTACTACCTCTCTCCGCCGGAGTCGTTTGGTAATGTTCTCGATGACCCGGTCCACGCTGGCATCTATATCGTCTTCATGCTCGGATCATGTGCCTTTTTCTCCAAGACCTGGATTGAAGTCTCTGGCTCCTCCGCTAAAGATGTAAGTGGTAAACACTTTCAGGCAGGTGGTCTCGGGTATTTATATCAAACACACTTTGTTTTAAAGCTCTTTTCTTTACTTGAATCCAGGTGGCGAAACAGCTGAAGGAGCAGCAGATGGTGATGAGGGGACACAGAGAAACCTCAATGGTCCACGAGCTGAACAGGTACAATGAAAACCACAATCCATACAGTTATAATGGCAATAAGCTTTATTCAACATTTACATGATTTCATCTTTCTGCCTCTGACGAGCAATTAACCCTCATCTTGTAATCAAGCAACACATTGTCACGTCAATATTTGTAGGTTTTATATATACTGTATGTAGATCTTCTTCGGACAGTCTTAGACTCAAGTGGTGTCATAAAAGACAAGGACATGTAAGATGGGAAGGTAATGCAGAAATAAATCCAAAGATATAAAGGTATTACAATAAAAAGCGAAAAGGATTAGAAAAAAAGTAATCATTTATTATTACTATTGATTTTAATCAAATGGGGTATTAGTCCTCCTGTTTCCAAATGTATTTTTTCACATGAACCTTAAAACTAAGAACTTACAAAATATATATATATTTTAGTTTGCTTTTAGTTCGTGAGGTAAAGAATAGACGGTAGAAATGAAATAAAGTGTTCTTCAGTTGTCATCCTAATTAGTCATGCATTGGAAATATGCAATGCTTAAAGGAATAGTTCAACAATTTAGAAATATTGCCAAAACATTGATTCTACTAGCCGACTCCTTGGGGCTCTTAATGCTCAGCAAAGATAAAGACTGTTCTTGTATATTTATCTAAAGACTTGAGCCTTGTGACCAGCGGAAAGAAAGCAATGTGTATTTGTTGAACTGTTCCATTCGTCCTTTTTAAACGATCATGAGGAAAGTATTTTAATAAAAACTGCTTTTAAGGCTTTCTGCAGAAACAGTCATGTGAAATTCTCAGTATTGATCTAAATATTCCTGTTTTTGTTTTCTAGGTACATTCCTACAGCAGCTGCCTTTGGTGGACTGTGTATCGGAGGTCTATCAGTAATGGCCGACTTCCTTGGAGCCATTGGCTCTGGCACCGGTATCCTGCTGGCCGTCACCATCATCTATCAGTACTTTGAGATCTTTGTGAAAGAACAGAGCGAAGTAGGCAGTATGGGGGCTCTGCTGTTCTAGAAAAAGCCAACCTCATCCCACCTTCTACCAACGTTTATTAGGATCACCAACTTTGCATTTTGTTTACATCTATGTGAAGCTCCTGCATCGTCAGCTCTCCACTTTCAGGATGTTCGAGGAATCTTCAGGAATCTCAGCTAAAATGGGACCTTGGGAGGTGGGGGGAGCTACACAGCTTGTTGCCCCTACCTGGTATCTTCCAAAGTAACACAAAGACCGACATTTTAGTTGTATTTCATCCGATTTTCTAACTGACTCTACATTATACCTCCCCGAGATTCATTTGAAAGGCTTCCTTTGTGTAAGAGATGAAGTCCTGCGGGAGTTTGGTCCTTTTTTTCAGACTGACAACAGAACGCTTCAGTATGCCGGCATACTCGACCGGATGATGGAGGGCAACTGACTGCTGTGTTCTGAAAAATGCACCTGATGTTCTGTTTGCTGTTATCTTAGTTAATACTTTTACTTTCAGCTTTATTTTATTTTCCCCTCCTGCCAATTATGTGAAGGTGTGGAACAGAAGCTGAACTGTCAAGTACTGTCGTTTTCCTGATCAGTGACCCGGTGTTATAGCTTTTATTGGAACAGGGTCTTGTAAGAGGAGGATGTGGAGCTCACATTGGGGTCCGCCTGTCGCTGTTTTAATGTATGGCATTCCCAGGGAGCTGCAGTATTAACTCACATGTCATATTCCTTTTTGGCTCCCACTTTTGCAATTTTGTTTTGTTTTTTAATTGTCTGCTTTCAGCACACTTGCATCAATCGCTTTTCCACACCTGAGAAATACTATGACTTTCTGTATATAGGCCACGCATTGAATGATTTTGAATTTGTCTTAAATGTAAGATAAAGTCTTTTGAATATGTAAACAACAAAAAAAGATAATGCATTTCAGAACAAACCTTATAGAAAAACATTCTCAATAAAAACCTTTTTGTGGAGAAAGGTCAAGTCTCTTGTCTCTTCTTTTTGGTCCACCAAAATGTTCCTTAGCACATGGTTTGTTTAATACGAAAAGTAACCTGAAAGATACTATAAATGCAACTGTAGTGAACATTTTTGATCCATATATTGTGATTTACATACAGTACATAACTGTAAAGGGGAATGAATATCCAACTTCTATATGATTGACTGTTAAGGATTATATTTTTTGTTAAAGTATGAGTAGATATTTTAATATATGAATGGCTATTACTTGAACTCCAATATCCCACCCCTAAAATAAAAATGTACTTAATAATAGGATTGGAAAAGTTTTTCCAAGGTGATTGTTATAAGTGCATTTATTTAAAGTGTAGATGCCTAGTTTACATCATTAAAAAAATGGTGACAAATGGCATAGAAGGTGAATCCCCTCTGGATATTACATATTACACTTTTACCTGAATGAAGGCTTGTCAGAAATGTAAGGTATTTTGACCGATAAATAAGATGTAAATAACTCTAATCGTGCATATTAAAACAACATGTCTAATGTTCTTAAACGCATTATTTTGTGTATATATAAACATCTGTGTGTATGTGTTTCTATGACCTGGTGGCGGCGGCAATGCGCTCAACAGCCTCTGCTCTACCGGAAATAGAATCGGAGAAGAAGACTCATCCACCGCACGCTCAGGCAAGGGTAGTTGTGAAACAAGCAACAAGCTAGCTGATGCTTCACTAAATCCTTCCCCTCTGCATGTGTCGTGTCTCAGTATCAGTTGTCGTCCTCTGAGTTGTTGCTGTCAATCAAAAGGAGGAATTCAAACCAACCCGGTGTGCAGACATGAGCTCGGTCAGAGATGAAGGTAACATGCTGTGCTAGCCCTGAAGTTGATTTGAGTTTGAATGAAAATTCATGTTCTTTTTTTCTTACATTTGTACAAAATTCCTGTTGGTACGATGAGATTCAGGACTGTTACATCTTTACCTGTTAACACATCTGAGTGCATAGGATTGTTAGTGTTCTTATAGTGCCATATTTTAATATAAAGTCACCTTGAGTGCGGTCACTTAATGATTGTTCTTGTTTTGTTTTCATCATGTAACAACATGGTTTTGGTGTTAGCGGAAAATAACTCGGTAAAATGGACAACTATTTAATGTAAATGTCCAAACCATTTTAACCATTGTAAAATGATCAGCCGGCATGCATGTCATAATCTTATACCTATATCAGATAAATAATAGATATATGGATGATTTCACTGATAGGCTCTTGTAAACCTGAAGTTAAAATTGTGACTGCAACTGCTGAAGGTTTTTTTTTTTACCGTTTTAACCGTGTTTACTTTGTTAGTCTCAGAATATAAATGATGAAGAGCCTTTATATGTCCTATAGCCTGCCTTAAGTTTTTGATTAGATGCCACAGTACTTATCAATGCATTTGTTTTTGTTGTCCTTCCAAATTTAACACCACAGGTAAGGACCGAATTATCTTTGTCACCAAAGAGGATCATGCGACACCCAGCAGTGCTGAGCTGGTAGAGGAAGACCCTGATGACCCTTATGAGGAGCAAGGTGAGGAGCAGTGAAATTGCCACTCTTTACTAAAGCTCAGGTGTGGGGATAAAATATACTTTTACATTACCTGTGCATTAACCTCTTTTCTCATCCTAGGGCTGATTCTTCCCAGTGGGGAGATCAACTGGAACTGCCCCTGTCTGGGTGGGATGGCCAGCGGACCCTGTGGGACTGAATTTAAAGACGCCTTCTCCTGTTTCCACTACAGTAAGGAGGAGGTGAAGGGATCTGAATGCCTGGAGCACTTCAGGGCCATGCAGGAGTGCATACAGCGTTACCCCGAGCTCTATCCACAAGAAGATGACAAGGTGCGAAAAGAACAATCATCAGAAACAGAGCCGACCTCACAAGACTCTGCATCTGCAGAAACCCCAGGTACCGACTCAACATCTGCAGAAACACCAGCTGCCGACTCAACATCTGCAGAAACCCCAGGTACCGACTCAACATCTGCAGAAACACCAGCTGCCGACTCAACATCTGCAGAAACACCAGGTGCCGACTCAACATCTGCAGAAACCCCAGGTGCCGACTCAACATCTGCAGAAACCCCAGGTGCCGACTCAACATCTGCAGAAACCCCAGGTGCCGACTCAACATCTGCAGAAACACCAACTACCGACTCAACATCTGCAGAAACCCCAGGTGCCGACTCAACATCTGCAGAAACCCCAGGTGCCGACTCAACATCTGCAGAAACCCCAGGTGCCGACTCAACATCTGCAGAAACCCCAGGTGCCGACTCAACATCTGCAGAAACCCCAGGTGCCGACTCAACATCTGCAGAAACCCCAGGTGCAGACTCAACATCTGCAGAAACCCCAGGTGCCGACTCAACATCTGCAGAAACCCCAGGTGCAGACTCAACATCTGCCACCGAGCCGGACTCTGATAGTATGCTACCCAACACAGAGGGCTCAGGGGAAAGCTAGTGATGAGCCCTGGTTACAATGTAAAGCCAAGGCTTAAGAATCGGACTGAAATCCCATTAAGTCATTGCTTGTTGCATTCATAAATAACATCATAGTGTTTTTTTAACATTTGCCGTTGAAATTCTTTTTTAAATGAAGCAAAAACCTTTTGAGGGTGTATCCAAAATGCTCATTATGCTGATCACTGTTTCTTTAACTGCAGGCTGCGTGGCCTGCAGGGGAACGAGTCACATAGCCTGTTCTGCCATTTACAAGTCATTTGGAGAAAGTGCGTCGTTGGGATTGAAAAGTAAATCAACACAAGAATCTAAACTGAGCGAAGTGATGCCTGTACGTGAGTTAACATTATGTTTAAGTTGCTGCAGCTGATGAGCTACTTTCTCTATCTCACATGGAAACTCACGATAGCAGTGCACGTTTCCCTGTTGAATGTTTGTTTAGTCACAAGTTCAACAAGCTATGGTACAGGAAACATGTTCTTTCATGTTGGCAGGTTAGATAAGAAGAAGACTTTAGCAGCGAAGATGATGTGGGTTGTTATTCAATGGCTACTGCTTTATGAAAACATGGTTCAACATGATGCGATTTAAATATCTCTATGCAAAAAAGGTCTTCATCCAATGATGGAAAGGTTAAATATTCCAAAACGTATAGGGTCTGCTATTGTGAAACCAAACACGTAAACTACATTAAATTATATTTAGAATATATAAGCTCTTACTTTTGGACTTTTACTTACAGAGGATCAGAGGACATCCGGGTTATATAGTAAATATGTGAAAAACTATCATGACCTTTATTTCCAGTTGAACTAAACAATGTATTTATGAATAAGATGGGCTTACAGTATACTTGTGTGAAACTATGTTATCAATGCAACAACTATCTTGAGTGTTTAAATTAAGGATGGGAAATCCTGCCTTTGGCAATACAAGATAAAACAAATATATTTAGTTCAATGAAGAACCTAGAGTACACTGTGTATTATGTCCTTTTCTTTGTCTCTTGGAGCGGCAGCACTAAGTTAATTCAGAGAAACTCCACTAATTGATAATCGATCAGCTGTTAAAGTCATTTTAAATGCAAAGATGGTAGAAAAAGCGTTCCACCTTTCAAAAATGGAGAATTCCTGCTTTTCTTTAGTGTGTATAAAATGTAACTGAATATTTAAAGGGTAAGGACCGACGAGACAAGACATTTGAAAAACATAACTTTAAACTTTGACAAATGCGATCGACATTCTTCCCATCTGACATGTTATAGACCAAACGTTTAATCGAGAAATTAACGAGTAATTCTTAGTTGCAGAGATTCCTATGATGTATGTACACGTGATATACAAAGTTTACTTCCTTTTTGTTCCATTTCATATGTTTGACTCAAAGTTTATAATAGTGATTATACGGATGAAGACAACCTCACTATTTCGACTGAGCAGTCTTGATTGCTATCTGTGGTGTATATCCAGTTATACAACTTTACCTCAGCTGAACTAAAGTGAACCATTCATGTCAAACACAAGTTTGACTAGTGTGACTTTTTATATAATAAATTATCCTTTATAATATTTGTTATTTTTGTGGTTTACTTCTTACATCTCCCATGCGTGACATTGCAATAATATCTTTGTACTGTGCTGACTCACCATATTGCAAGTGTACGCTGTCAAGAAGAGCAAATGTGTGAACTGAGTTTCTATAGCAGAGGGCAACTTTGGGGGAAAACTCTTTGCTCCAATAACATTACTTCCTTTGAATGGATCTGGATTCAATTAATTCAACCAAATTACACAATTCACATCAATTGAACAATAACTAAAGACAACCCCTGTGATTGGATTTCTTACCTTTCCTATTCTTATTCAAATCTTTAATAGTAATTCACAGAGTTATTCAACCGTTACAAGAGTAGGTTATACTTTTTGGGAGGATACAGAATTAGAATTCAATACACATTGTCTTCACAATCACATAATTAGTCTGCAAAAACTGGACCTCGTCAAAAGTATCAAATGTAGCTGTAAATGTATTCTTCCATGTGATATGATTAGGTAAAGCTTCAGAGGTCAGATGTAGTGTTTGTCCACTGAAGCATGTCCTGCTAAAAACTCCCATCATGATAAATAATTACCAAACACCGGCGTACCATTGGTGGATTGCGGAGGGGAAAGACGACCAAAAAACCAATGAGACAATAAGGGGAAGGTCATCGCCCTCAAAGTTTTTCTCTCCACAGAGGACGGTTTGCAGATAGGGTGAGAGCTGCCTTCATCGTCGTCTGCTCGCGTGTGTGACAGAAAATCCTCTCCAGGATGTCTTCTTTAAAGGAAATATGCAGCGGTTTACCCCTGGACCCACTGCCACCCAACCGGGGAAGAGACCCCAATGTGCCGCACGCACCCATCCGGACCCCCAACCTTACAGCAGAGGAGGAACGGGTGAGTCAATTCGTCTCTCAATCATTTATAAATAAGTATTCCAGAGACATGTAGCCCTCTCAAATAAAATTATAATATGAATTGTTTACGAAGGATTTTACATGCACAGCTGAATGAAATGAAGGCATTCCTGTGCTTTTACACTGAGTAAAAATACTTTCTGTGAATAAAACTCTCAAATTAAGATGTATTTATAATGGAAAGCACCGTACATGGGCCTGCTTGGCTGCTGTCAAACGATTATCAAATGGAAGAAGTGGACTACTATTAGACACGATCACGTAACAATGAGAGATGTAATAATAAGCTAAAGGAGGTAAATGCTCACTGTCATGTCAGACAATTGTTTGACTTTAAATGTGTTGAATGTGAGGACAAAATTGACATAATACTGTGTACTCTGACTTGTTGCATCACCATTGTTGTCTCGTGAGCCGTCCCAAAAAAATAGATTATTCTCTCGGGTCCTCAAAGGATTGCCCAATCTCAGAGCAAAGGTTCAGTCAATGATTATAAGAGAGCTCCTGCTCATTACCCTAAAAATGTAAAACAACTACTCTTCCATCAATCTATAAATACAGTATGTGTTCATTAACCCATTGTACATTTCCCATGTTCCTCTAGTTGGCGCTGAGAAATTCCTTGCGTTACTTCCCTCCTTGCCACCATGCAACACTTGCACCTGAATTTGCTAAAGAGCTGCGGCAGTACGGGCACATCTACATGTACCGCTTCTGCCCCACATTACGCATGAGGTGAGAAAACCTGAGCAAATATCCATAATTGATATTTGACATGTAATAATGTCTTTTGTTTTGGTTGGTATTCCTTTTAATGCATTTTATATTCGTTTGTTGACTAAAATCCTTCAAATTATAATCAAAAAGCAGAGTATTTTCCAGATTAACTGTAAACCTTCAGAGATCACAGCGGTAAAATAATTCAATCAAATATGAATCAAATATAAATAGAACAAAACTAAGACACTTGTACTGATGTTTCCGCCATAGGGGCCAACACTTTCACTGCTGATATATCTGTCACTTTTATGACAATCCCTGCTGCATAAGATGTATACAAATGATGGCTATTGTAAGTTAACTTGAGAAAGACATTGATGTATAACCACCACAATGCCAGTTATCTAGATTTCTACTGACCTCAGGACTTTAGATTTCATTTCAATCTTTATTTCGAACAGATTAAAAAATAAATAAATAACAAATGTGAAAAACAGAATACCGTATTGTTAAAATACAGTATTTATCCACATTCATGATAACATTTATATATTCAACAAAAAAGTCTTCATATTAATAATAATAAGTCATATGTGTCCGAAAGGGAGCAGGAGGAAGCAAATGCTTATTAATTCCCACCCCTTACTTGATCAATGATTGTCCTTTAAATCATTATGCAAGTTATTCCTACTTACATTTACATTTAAGATAAACATTTCAATGGTTAATCTACATTATCTAAGTAAAACACACTGTAGCTCACCAGAGATAAATATAAATCAATGTGTCATCCTGTAACTTAATCCTGTGTCCACAGTGGCTTCTGCTGAGCAAAAGTTCAATAGTATGAAATTATACTAAGCATGATAGTAGAATATTTTCTCTTAGTTTCCGCCACAACAGTGATGTGAGTGTCCCTCTGTCTCCTCAGAGCTTACCCCATAGATCAGTACCCGTGCCGCACACGCCAAGCTGCCTCCATCATGCTAATGATCATGAACAACCTGGACCCAGCCGTTGCTCAGGTGAGCCTCTCGCACAGATCCTAGTAACTTTGGAATTAAGCATGGCCAGTCGTTTTTTAAACCGTTTATCTCGCCTGTGGTTAACTCTTCTTTATCTTTTAGTTTCCCCAGGAGCTCGTCACCTATGGAGGGAATGGACAGGTGTTCAGTAACTGGGCCCAGGTGAGTTATTTTGTGTTCATGCAGTGGATTGGGTAATAAAGAGTGTAAATAGGTTCGTAATAATAATTTCATTGTGCCTGGGTTCAGTTTTGCCTGGTGATGCACTACCTGAGCGAGATGACAGAGGAACAAACTCTGGTGATGTACAGCGGTCATCCCATGGGCCTGTTCCCCAGCCTGCCTTCATCACCTCGCGCCATCATCACCAACGGCATGGTAGCTGCCCAACACACTTCACAAACATTCACCTTTGTACTGTAAATCACTCAAATCAATTTTTCCTATTTTGCATCACTCAGGTTATTCCAAACTACTCCTCCAGAAATCAGTATGAAAAGATGTTTGCCCTCGGTGTATCAATGTAAGTTGTTGCATTGCAGGAAGAGGATGATGCTTTATCAAACCTCTGATGTGGGTACAGATGTCTTGATGTTATTTGTGTTTATTTTGTTTATTCATTTTCAGGTATGGCCAGATGACAGCAGGCAGCTACTGCTACATTGGACCTCAAGGGATTGTTCATGGCACTATGGTTTGTGATTTATTGTACACTCCTGTATTTCCATATGCAAAATAAAGGTACATTTTTGATAAGTGGTTAGAAAACCTGAGAGCCAGAAACTCCTGAAGAGGTTGTTCTATTGGATACGTTTAATAAGATGAAACAAATAAAAACAAAAGCATCTTCCACACAAATTATTTGTCATTTTTGACCATTGCTTGAAGTCATAACATTTAGTGTGTTGTAGAAGTAATGTTGTTGTTCCTGATTTGTTATCTGTTTCCTGATGTTGTTCTGTGCAGCTGACAGTGCTAAATGCTGGCCGGAGGTACCTGGGCTCTGATGATATGAGCGGGCGCGTCTTTGTGACCTCTGGCCTGGGGGGCATGAGTGGAGCTCAGGCTAAAGCTGCCGTCATTGCTGGTTGCATTGGCGTGATCGCAGAGGTCAGCTGGTTCAGTTTAATTTCTTCTTAATAGAGTGCCATCTATCGATCATAAATCTATCGATTAGATTTATGATTCGAAAATTATAAAAGTAGGGTAGACATGTGGAGATTATCCGACTGAACAAAACGTGATCCGTCTCTTAAATGTGTGTCAACCACAGACCTTATTTCGAGCTATTTTCCAAAATCCTATGGAGAAATCGCATTGCTTTGTTGTCGAAGGAACCCATGCGCAGCTTACTTCCGGGTTTTAGGACGTGTCACAGTGGCACTCTATACTCACTGCTGACTGAGGCAGAAAAAATGAAGAAAGTCCTGTATGTTAATGTGAATTTGATTTCTATGTAGGTGGATGAGGCTCCGCTGAGAAAGAGACATGAGCAGGGCTGGCTGATGGAGGTCACCAGCAACATGGACCACTGCATTAAACGCATCAGGTAACACAAAGAAAAGTGGTTATAGCTGTGTAAATCACTATTTAAAATCATTGCTGCATTCAATTTCACTTTTAAATCCATATGACACACTTGGAACGTGTGTGTGTTTCTGGAGTATGTGTTCACATCATATTCTTAAGTAAGAGTAGCAATACCACACTATACAAAAAAAACAAAAAACAATGTAGAGTGTTAGAATCTTAGATGTTAGATTATTAAAACATAATTCAAAATGTTGGGAGGTACTGAGAATATCAATATCACTGAGCTCAGATAACCAACCATGCCAGTAGCCTTATATTACAAGATAGAGAGTGGTTTCAATCTTCTCTTCTAATTCTTGGATAAATAGCAAACAAGCATATTCCCCAAAATGTCCTTAATTTCTTTCTTTTTGTGGTATTTATTATGGTATTATTACAACTCTTTGTACTATTAAGTCATTTAAACCATACAGCTGTTGATGTTTTTTTGTGCCAGCATATGATTTGTAAGCAATGTGACATGTCTGTCTCGTTTAGTAAAAGTTGCAATAATTCCCTGTTGAAATGAAGTACTAGCTCCTAACATTTTGACAGAAACTTGAATAAATAAACACACCTTCACTGCGACCTAGGCTGTCTACTGTTAGATGAGTATCATGATAGCAAAGCTCGTATCCACAGAAAAGACAGAAAGATGTTTCCCATAGGTAAACCTGTCTCGGATAACGTAATCACACATTGATTATTTTTTCTTTTTCAGGGAGGCCAAGAGCTCCAAGACGCCTCTCAGTATGGGTTTCCATGGCAACATTGTGGACTTGTGGTGAGTTTC